TGATAACTGTGAATAGAGGAGAAAGAAAATTAGCATGATAAGTAAAGAATACAAAATTGTCTCATTGCCTTAAACTATAAAATAATCTTTAGGTTACTAGTAAATCTAAGGTTACAACAAATTATTTCTAATTCATATGAGGAAAATTCAAATTTGTGAATAGTCAAGACTTCTAATAATCTTAAAATTTGTCCTTGACAATCTCTACACAACATTTTAAAATTATTATTGATGTCAATTCTATGCCTCGTTTTAATTATATATTTACTTTACCCTTAAAATGATACACTGAAGCTTTTTTAAAATAATCAAGGGATATTTCTATGTTAAAATAAAGATCACACAAATTCATATCCTTTTTTTATCCTAAAATTCTGTATAATTGGTCGATTTTTCTATTTTCTGATTTTTACATTTCAAAAAAAGAATAGTGAGTATAAAAATAAACTAATCATAGCAACAAAGGATTAAAAGGGTAATATTTGTCAACATAGATTAAATATGTAAAGACAGAGTTATGTTGACTAACCTTCACAAATATTGATGATAATCTATTATAGTTATTTTAACAAACATATTGATAATATTACAGAAGAAATTCTTTATTTTCGAGTGTATAATAAGTTTAATTGTATATAATTATAAGTAAAGTGACAATTGAAATTTAATGAACACACTTTTAAGTAGTATCTACTGCATATTGATGTTTTTTTTTCGAATACGATGTAATAATCACAATTGATTGATCACTACCCAGTGATCAATCAATAGTGATTACATCTCAGTCCTACAGGAGGTCAGTCGCGACACGAATAGCTCAGTGGTAACGTCTCTGATTGTGAAGCTGGGTGACACGGAACCGAATCAGCCATGTAGCACCAGTTCCCTCAAGATTACAGGTACACCTTGTTGACGAGTGCCAAGTAGCACGAAACTCGGGTCCAGGGTTTCCTGTTGACTACCTCTAACCACCATCTAATCTCACGATGTAATAAACTTTAAATCTACCGATGATATTTACTCGTTCATTGTCATATATATACTTTTTAAACAAAGATGAAATTAAGAATGGATTTTGTCATAGACTATTTAAGTTTACATTCACAAATCATTTTTCTATAAATGGTTAGTTAGATAGAATAATTTCAGTGAAAACAATATCTATGTTTAATAAATAAGCCAACAATTTGATCAAATTAGAAATTCAACCATGAATTTATTCAAAAAAAAACGGTAACTGTCGTTTAAATTTGATCGAATAATTTCACAATATTTGGGTGCCAAGTTGATATGAGACATAAAAGAGAGAGAATGTATTTGTAAAATCTCAGCAAATAAATTTGAAGGTAACGGATAACTAAAAAATTTTGTTCAACTACATAATCATTGTTTTTATGAAACAACATTAACATAAAACCAATAGCTGACTATGTATAATGTATGGCTTTTCATAGTTCACAATCATCTTTTGAACAAAACTAATACTACTAATAATAATAGTAATAATAATAGGGAATACATTTAGAAATAATGCAAACACAGAAGATTTCATCTTTGAAAGAAACGATTAGCGAATCAAGAGAATCCTGGGAAGGTTGGGTAATATATACATTTTTCTTCAAAATAATTCCTTTATATTCTGTTATTAGTCAATAAACAATAAAAAATATATTACAAGCTGATAAAATGATTTAATTTGATTGATAAACGTTGTAAATTCAATAACTTTCATTAAACTATAACGTTTCCGATTTCATTAGATAGTAGATTGATGTCTACTGATTTGAAATTCAAACCTACATTTACACCAGTTACCAATTAATAAATAATTTCTTGGGATTGAATAAGATCCGCCTTTATATCATGCATAAAAATGTTTAAAAACTCTTTGTTTTAGTGTACTTTCTCTCCGTCGGAAACTGATATCATAGTGATTTTCCGGTCATTATACTGAACTATGCCATACTGTCTATTTTATGTACCAGTTGTATACATTTCTACGATTCTGAACCGGTAAATATTGTTAGTTTGGTTCAGTGTTTATTATGTTGTATAACAACTCTAATCTGCTTTTTATTTGCTTTTGAAAGTGAAAATTACTGCTTGGCTGAATTAGGTGGAATATTTTAGGTAACTCAAAAAAAATGGTAGACATTGAATTTATTTAATCCCTGATCTCCTGCCCTGATGTAGTTATTCGTGGCAATTTTCTTAAAATAATTCCCAGCTAGAATATTTTAACTACTAGTTATGTCGTTTCTACTCTATGTGCTATTGACATCACTATGTGAATATTATTTAGTCTCATCTTCAAAACTAAATAATGATACTATAAGCATGTTTAACAATAAAAAAAATTAATGTCAGCACTCACTAGAACTCCAATTAAATACTAAATTATAGACACGACAAACTTCGATGGCCATCGAGGTATCAAGCAAAGGACACAGAGAACAAAAAAGAAACTAATCATGATCTCAAAATTCACATGATAAACTTGTATTGAATTCACTATGTAATTTATAATTCCAAACAAAATATGAATTCAAAAATTGTTGGATTATTTCGTTAAACATTATTGTTTTATTGAAATAATTTTCAGTGGTACGAAACTAGTTAGGTCAAGAAAAATTACGCTTGAATAATCTTCAAATAGTGTCTTAGCGAATAATGATAAAAACTGCGATTAGTTTAGAAATACAAAGAATTTCCAAATAATTATTAATATATATTTTACATATTTAACTGTTGACCTATTTCATTGCTATTCGACAATATCTTCCCAATGTTTATTTCATTCATTATACATTCTTAAAATGGGGAAAAAACTTTCATAGTTGACTTCATACCTATTGTTAAATATCTGAAAAGTCAAAAAACACGACCGTGTTTTATATTATTACACTTTCATAAATAAACTGAATTCAAATCTTCTTGTTGGTTATTATACAGTATCCTTTTATGTTCTATTGAACTATCAGATTGAAAATACCCGCTATCAATTTTACATCACAACATAGTGTTCAACTTAGAAAAGGGTAAGAAGTATGTTCGATGTGCTTTTCTGGGCTATACTTCAGCTTTCGATTCTGTACCAAGACAACGTTTAATTAACAAGTTAATCAGCGTCAACACTGGCAGGTGGATAACCAACTGGCTATGTTCCTACCTCTCTGGAAGGGAACAGTACACTGTGTTTGGAGGAAAGTGTTCAGAGTCTCTATTGTCTCATGGAGGTGTACCACAAGGAGCTGTTCTTTCACCTCCTCTTTTCTCTTTTTTTCTGCATGATCTGCCATCTTCCACAGAAAACACTTTTGTGAAATACGCGGATGATCTCACTGTATGTATGCCTATCTCTTCCTCTTTACATCCCATAGAAATGAATGAGTTTTTGTCTCGTATTGATTGTTAATCTGTTGGTTATGATCTCATACTTAATCCATCTAAATGTCAAGCTGTTAACTTTAGCATGAGACATGAACGGCATCTAAACACCATTTTGAGATCCCATAATGCTTGTGTCATTGGAGACTCTTTGATAAACACAATGTCGAATGTCAAGTATCTTGGTGTCACCTTTTCCTCTGATCTGTCTTGGTCTTCCCACGTTTTATTGTTGTCGAAGAAGGTTTTCTGTCTGACCTACTACATAAAGAGATTGCATGCTCTTGGGATTACTCGTCATTTATTCTTACAATTTGTCAATTCTTGCATATTACCTATTATTCATTACTGTTCTCCATTATTCTTTCCCGGACTTTTGACAAAAGACTTTTTTGTGTTGCAGAGAGTGCTGAAGGTAGTTATCAAGGTATTTGGTTAATCTTTTGAGGTCATTATTAATATGGTTGTGGATAGACATCCAAAGTCTTGCAAACTTCTGTCAGCTGTTATCTTATCAGATACTAATTATCTTCATTCATATCTTTCGCCTTGTATATCTTCTGGTAGAACGAGACGTAATTACATTAAAATCCAAGCACGCAAGCAAAAGCACAAAATTTCTATATTACCTTACCTAGCAAATATACTCTGTGACGAACAGGTTGTTAGAGTTAACCTAGTCAATAACCCGCATTCTTAACATGTCTCTAATTTGAAAAGTTGTACAGTTTTTCAGGTTTTTTTAAAACATTTTTTGTATTTGTTACTGCTTTTTTGCGTAAGTAACTTGTTGAAATACCCTGTGCTGAGAATTCTATATTGTACCAAAATATAATATTGAATAAAGCCATTAATAATAATAATAATAAATTATATATCTTTGTGTTGAAAGATATTGGTAACAGTTTCCCAACCGGTTTTTTTTAATTTCATAAAGCAGATAGAGTTAAACTATAATTTCTCTATTTCTGATCACATTCAAAACAATGTTCTTTAATCTTCGTCAAGGCGTTTTTTTCTCTATTTATTATAAACGATAAACATTTGAACTGCTTTTACCAAGTAACTAGTTACGTTAAGATCTATCGATTTCGAGAATAAAATATTAATATTCTTAAATTTGTATGATTATTATTATTATTATTATTATTATCACAGAGTATGAAAGGATCCTAGAGAGATTCTCTTTAGAAGAACTACGTATTGAATAGATGGAAATTGTTAAATTTTTAAATTGTACTCCGAAATGATTAAATATTATATCAGTACATTGTAAATTGAATAAAATGTATTTGTTGGGGAGAATGAAAAAAATACAGTTATACTGTGATTGAAAGAGTAAATAAAAAAGCTATTTGTATTAATGCAAAATCCATAATTGGTTTTTGTCTAAATTCTTGTTACTCTGTATATATTTGTTTACTCTGAAGAAGTCAGTTACATTAGGTCATGAAACATCAAAAACACAATTCTTCCATCCATTGGAATAGAACAAAAAAATTACATTTCTTATTATCCTGTGTATGTTGTTAAGATGGAAAGCTATTTAAACTTTAATTAATTCTTAACATGTATATTTACTAAGGTTTCATTGAATATATAACGCTACTTACAAATTTCAGCAAATTATGTCAGTGTTGCGTTTACATCACTTTACCACACGTGATATCTATCATTTAAGAGAAATATATAATTTTCTAATTGTGGGAGATGAATAGAAAATAGGAATTTGAAGTGTTCATTAAGAAAACATTAAATATAAGCACAAACCATTTTAAAAAGATTCATTTCTATCAATATTCAATTAGTTTGCATTATTGACAATACTTTGATTCACTTTTCTCCATCCAAAATCATTTACAGTTACCACTTTCTGTATTGCTTATTACTATATATGACGAAAGATACGTACTGCGCACATACAAACTGTCACCATAAGTCTACAGAAGCTAAACGCATACTTGAAAGCAGAAGTTTTTTATAATTTCTGAGTAGTTTTGCATTTCATATAAGCAATTAGTTAACAAAAAAAACTTTTTAAAGTGAGGCTTCATAAACTTAATAAATATAACAGTTGAATTCACAAGTCAATGAAAACTAAACCGTAATGGAAAATGTGGAAGAAGTGGACGGCCATTTCATCCAAGTATGAGACTACTCAGCAGTGCGCAAACACAATCCCGCTCGTGGGCTTCGAACCCAGGACCTGTCAGTCTCACGCGCAAACGCTTAACCTGTACACCACTGAGTTGACATCTCAGACTATTAATGTCTAACTTAAACCAATTCACGAAAGTGTGCCACTGCACATCATTGTTTTCAGTGAATTCCTATCTATATTATTACATATAATGATATTTTGTTATAACTTGAGATCACTTATTGCTAATCATACTTTTCTGAGATTTACAGAATACAATTAAACTAAAACATGAACACATACGCTGGACACTTGAATTTCAGTTCAAACTAATAATGAATAGTAGACTTATGCAAACCAACTAATAAAGATCAATAGTTCAATAAATCCATACTACAAATTCGGATACTAATACCAAATCAATATTACATATGTCATATTTTATACCTTAATTGAATCTAAACAGTCAACAGTAAATTCACAATAAAATCTTTACAATAAATAAATAATCTCAGGCTTTTTTCTCCTAAAACAAAAAAAAACATTATTTTATATGATTTTCTTCATTATTATCGAATTTCAAATGATTTGTTATCTGAAATTATTGATTAATTATCAGACCAGTAAGCTTAACTTAATATCCTGTTGGGGTATCCATATTTTATTACCATCAATATGAAAACATTTTCATTTTCAATAACCATTTCACTAGTAATTACATGAATATAATTATTGATAATGTGATCCATAAATACTACTTAATATTGACAAAATATATACAATTATTACATAAACCATAATGAAGATAATGAGAACTGATATACAATATCATTAACATATTAAATAATATATCATTGGAAGAAGAAAAGAAAGAACAAACGCTTACTTCTAATAAAAATAAGGAATATATCATAACATCAATATTATTCATTTTATATTTACATGACAACAATCAAATAAACAAATAAATATTTTCTATTTATCAAAATCCTACATTTCAACCAATCACTATTTAGAAAAATAAAATAGAAATTAACCAATCAGAAAATATGTATTTTTTTGTTGTTATTTTTATGATCATAACAAATAACATTTATTTATGATTCGATTTTGAACATTGACATGGAATAAATAAGGGACTCCTTTGTGTTTAACATACAGTATATATATATATATAAAACAAACATTGAAATAATATGATTTATAGAAAAACAACTGATAAAGATATCACATCATTAGAATAAAAGCTTTGTCAGAAAGGTATTAACATGAATGAGTTTTGCTTAATAAAGACTATTTAATTGTGAATGTAAAGCATATACAGGAAAATAAATACTGAGATTGTTAATGTGTTTGGTTTAGATAGACAAATGATTTCAAACCTATGAATTATTAGTATTTGATTGTCAATTATAATGTAATGAAACTGTCATTCCTGTAGTGCGATTAATCTAGTTTTTAATGGTACATTTGAATTGAATGCAATAAATAAAAAGGCTTAACTTAACAAATATGAATAGAATAGTTATGATTGCCAAAGTGATATGTTAAAATAAACCTTGAACTTTGTGCTACAGAGCATTTCTTTTGATATTCTGTTATGCTGTACGAAAACCTCACGCATGTAAACCGTTGTACACTCATCAGAAACCAGAAATATTGACTGAAAAGCCTCCAAGTGAGCATAATTTGTGAGATCCGTACTTTTTAGAGAACCCAGATTAAAATTACTACATGAGATTTGATTCACATAGAAGCTGTCATGCAAATGAAAATCGTCCAAGCGACTGTGAATTAAGTATAAACAATGTGATTTCTTCTCACCCTGAGTAAACCGATAACTTGACTGATAAACATCTATAAAAACTTTACTGTCAATGTTTGATATCAGATTAACAATGATTGAAGATCATAGAGCGCTAAATATGTTTTATTCTGGCTTGAATATTTTTATCAATGCGCATCTGCGACTAAAGATAGGTAGTTTATTACACAGCGTCGACATTGTATTCTTGAAATAATATTACCAACTTGCTAAGTCGGGAAACAACGCTTAACGTTTTTATGACTAAGTAGCGAACCATGTAGGGGGCGTGCTATCATCTAATATATATATATAACCTATTGCCTTGGATGGTCTTCAATGATTCACTGAATCTTTATACGTGGTCTAAACCTGAATTTGCCTTACAAACACTTAAAATGCCTTAGGTATTTTCAACAAGCACTTAAATGCAATCAGTTACATTTAAAATTTAAAGCATTTAAATAAATTGAGGAACTATTGACAGTTCAGCACAGATTTCTATCAGTGAGTTCCCGAACACTCTGTCATATGCACTTATATCCTGCTATTTTGTAGTGCTAACTAAAAGTGGCTGTTTAATTTTGAGCAAATGAGAAATGGGTCATACCATCGTACACATCGACATTATCTTTAGACAGATTAACTAAAAAAGATACGTATAACTTATTTATTCATATATCTGATAATTAATAAATCCTTATTTTCCTATCTTTTTCTGATTTTACTTTGAGATGACAAAGCACTAAAGCTTAATCCAAGTTTGTAAATGTTGTGTACAATATTTTCATTCTCCACCATTTCCGAAAAATATCTTTATATATATTTGAATAGCCAATTTTTATAGATCTCGTCTATGATGTCAACTTATCTTAGAAGTTTAATGTATTGATCCTTCAAATAACAAATAATTGACAAGAGAACATCCAGAACTTACTAACAGTGAAAAACGTATTAGCAGTTTACCATATTTTACCAACTCCATTTCTTTTATGATAATCTGTATGATCATTGATGTAAGTAACTACATCTTCTAGAACTTGACTATATGTTTTTCACTTGAACATATAAAAAGGCATGAAAGAAAAAGAAACAGATATAGCATGAAAAAGAGAAACAATATATTCCCTAAATATAAACCCATTATATTAATTAGGTCTAATAATAAAATTTCCTGTCAAACTGTCATTTTATGCTTTTACATTACTCACAGTATAAATAACAAATTTCTTATGTCATACTTGGTTAACTATAAATTTTAACTTAATTATATAATTCACCTCATTAATATAGTGGTATACATTGAAGAGCAGATGATTAAAATAATAAATCCCTTCTATAAATAACATTAATTATACCCGATTTTAAACATAACCTTTACCTTCTTACGAAATGTAATTTACCCTATGAATAAGCTAAATATATTCTTTATTTTTTTAATTAAACAAAAGATTCATTTAAAGATATTACGTCAATGAAAGCAAAAGATTTTCTTGTTTTTAAACAGGAGTTTGTCATAGTAACAAAAAACGCCTTAATTTGACTTTTTTTCGGCATGAAACCAGGAGATACCAAAATGAAAATCAATATTTTAGTGGTACAAAATAAAATGACAGTTATCGCTGCCTATAATATGATCTGTGATGTATTTAAATTTTTGATTACATATAATAAAAATAAATATAATCAGGTTATTAACAGGTAAATAGATCACTTGTATACATTCTTTGACTAAATAATTTTATAGAATAGTTCTCTAAGGTATCAGTAACCAATATAATAAGTTAATAAATAGAATATGGTTAGAATTGATTTCATGGATGAAAATGAGATAAGATTTTACAATCAAGTTCAATACTTCAATGAATAAAAGCGAAACTGAATCTTTGAGATTCTGCACATAGTTCCGATTTATAATTTTAACATATATATATATATCAGGTTTGACATTAACTTCATTATTTATCATTGATGAAATTTAAGGAAAGAAGAAGCTATATACAAAAATCAAATTGAAAATAAGATTAGCCACTGCAATTTGAGCAATTCCGCAGCTTCATCTAGTAGTGTGATCCGAGACTGTTCAGGTGAATAATCTAAATTATCAAAGATAAATACGATTTAAAACAAGTTTTCACTAATAGCTTATCTGGTTAATATCAAATATTGATTTTGTATATATTAATAATAATAACCTGTTGATTAATGAAATCTTAAACTTTCAAATATATATATCCAGAAAGAAATTACTGTCATCTTAGTATTAAATCTGTATTGAATCTCCATGAATCTATCAATTCATCAAGTGAAAGGATACTTTTGACAATTTCATGTACAAAAACTTTATGTATATGTCTCTTTACGTGAATCAAGAAATAAATTATATATTTTAATTCATTTTGTATTGGTTGATTGAATATTCCCATTGATATTTAGGACTGCAGTTAACCAGTCTGTCATTGGCATATGTGCATCCCGTGAGGACTGCCTCGATATGATATCAAACCACAAGCATTATAAATAAAGATGGCTAGTAGTAGAACTCAGAATCCGGTTGACCAATCCTAAATAGGACGAAACGTGCAACCTGGATTTCCACTGCTAGTCACTACCCATTTTTGCTTAAAACTATATGTTTTTTTTTAATATAAGTAGCACTTTTTTTAAAAAGAAATCGTCAGAGAGGAATCTTTTTCCTTTATTATTTATTTTATAAATTTATTGGTATATTTAAATAAAGTTACTAATTCATTTCTCAATAAATTTATGAATTTCATATTTTGTTTTCATGTTCCATTTTTCGGAAAAAAACATTTATTCACTTTATTTTATTACATCATGCAACAATTTAAGTTGATATTATATTATATTAAAAACAGTAATTACAGATACTGGTGAATTCAATAAATACGAAGATCAGAAAGGGATTTTGTGGACAGTATAGTAATTGAATAGTTGAATTCATGAGTCAGTTGAAGCTAGATCACCATGGAAAACATGGAAGCACTGGATGGCCATGTCGTCCTATTGTGGGACTCCTCAACAGTACGCATCCACGATCTCGCCCCGCTAGATTCAAACCCAGGACCTATAGGTCTCACGCGCGAGTGCTTAACCATCCGACGGCGTTTAATTTCAATCAATCCACAAAGTTGAGCCACCGTCCAGCATTTGCTTTTCATGCTGGTCTAGCTTCAATGGACTCGTGAATTCACCTAATCAATTAAATACGAAGATGATCTCCAAGCATATCAATATCTGTAATACATTTAATTTTAAAATATTATTAGGTTGTAAGCAACTAGTGAGAACCTAGAGAAATAAAATGAATTCATATTATTCTGTACTAATCTTGCTGTTTTTAAGATAATAAAAGGGGCTATGTGTGTGTAAATAAGTACTTTCGTCTAAATTTGATCGAATAGTTTCACAGTATTCGATCGGTGATTATAAAGAAAACATATAATTTTTATATATGATATGAATCAAAAATATTACAGCATGCATTAAATGAAGGTAAATAAACAAGATAAAACAATCAATTCAACGAGGAGGAACGTATTTGTAATTGAAAGTTTGTGTTATTTTAATGTCTTTTTCTTAGGTAATCCTAGAGAATTGTTCTTCTAAAAAGAGTGTTTAATTAATATAATCCTATTATTTTTCTAAACAATAACATAAGTAATCAGTACTCAATCCATTAAGCTAAAGGTATATAGCATCTGCCCCCAAATGCCCTGGTACGGCCGAGAGTGCGGAGAGTCCGCTCTCTCTCTCGAAATGCTCTCACACGGCCACGCGTATATAGCCTCTGCCAGGGAAGTCCTACTCACTGCCTTCTCGTGACAGGGGTGTTGTTTACGAAAATGAGAGGACGAAAAGCGAATGTCCGGCGCTTTAACCGGATTCCAAACTAATGGTGCACATGGGCTCCAGTATTCTGCGGGAACAAATGGCGTATGAACCAATCGTTGGTCACCGGCTTCCATGGGACTGCATCTCCTTACGATGCTCCACTGCCTTGTGGGTTAGACCTTTAGGTCAAAGGCTCGGGGTGTGGCTCCGTAAGAAAACGACCTGCTTCGGTTTGTGCACCCG